CCCGGATTTAGAAGGAAGAATTGTTTAATTGTTTCTCCCTTTCTGATTCTAGAAAGCTTGGTCATCTATTTCCACCCTATCTGTTTCTAGAAGGTGGTGTTGTCCATCTCTCCTCTGTCCATTTCTCCTCTGCCTGGTTCCAACAGTAAGCATAATTAATTTCCCCCTTGCCTGGTTCTAGAAGGGAGCATTATCTACCCCCCTGCCTGGTTCTAGAAGGCAGTGTCATCCATTTCACCTCTGCATGGTTCTAGAATGGAGCATTGTCTGTTTCCCCTTTTCCTGGACTTAGACAACACTCCCTTCTAGAAACAGACAGGGCAGAAATAGAACACACTCCCTTCTATTGAGCTCTGCCTGGTTCTTATGGAAGTCTCATCAATCACCCCCCCCCCCCCCCCCGGTTCTCGAGGTAACAATTTGTTGTTCTTATGGAAGTCTCATCCATTTCCCTCACTCACTTTGTTCTAGAAGGAAGAGTTGTTTATTTCCCCCTTTCTGATTCTAGAAGGCGTGGTCATCTATTTCCACCCTCTCTGATTCTAGAAGGTGGTGTTGTCCATTTTTCCCCTGCCCGGTTCTAGAAGGTAGTGTGGTCCATTTCTCCCCTGCCTTGTTCTAGAAGGCTTGGTCATCTATTTCTCCCTTGCCCAGGTCTAGAAGGGAGTATCATCCATTTACCCCTTGCCCGGTTCTAGAAGGGAATGTTGACTATTCTTTCTAGAACAAGGCAGAAGAAAAATTGGACATCTTTTTCCCCCTGCCTGGTTCTTGAAGGGAACATTGTCTACTTCCCTGCCTGGTTCTAGGAGGAAGCATTGTGTATTTGTGTTATTAGTATAGACTGTATTTTCACTGGCTGGGGAGAGAGCCATTTTATTATGACTAATATTGTTGGAGCTGATCACTATATTCCCGGGAGTCACGAGGCATGTGAAATGTCCGTGTCTGATGCACTGTTAGGACACACTGGGTGACAACATTGGCTCACCAAATGCATAGACACGTACATACGCAGATCCTCCATAATGAACTCAGGCTTGTTGAATCCCATCAGGAACCATTTTCCTTTCTATATCACTAATATTGTCATCAAACTATATTCAGTTAAGAACCAGAACAAACATCTCAATGCCTCAATTCCATCAGTCATTTTTTATTACATTCCTCTTATGCTGCTCACTGATGGTATACATTCTTATTGCACTGGAAGGTAACAATTGTTTTTACAGAATTCAAACAAAAAACAACAAAATAAAAAAAAATCAACAAAACTTGTAAACTAGTTTCATCTCACAAGCTGCAGTTAGATAATGACCGTCTGTCAGGGAGTGTAACATTACTGCATACGTGAGGGAGTGTAACATTACTGCATATGTGGATAGATCGGAATGTTTCCATTTACTATACCCTGTAACGTAAACATAGAGGCTCGAAGATTGACCCATTGTGACATTTCTGGAAATACAAAGCCAATGAATTGTCCCTGCAGCCCCAGGCTACTCCAGATATCTGAATGTCCGAAACATTGGTCTCTCCTCTGGCTCTGTTCCAATGTTGTTGGTTATTTTTCGGACGCTGCAGAACTCTGACACTTGTGGTGGGATGGGCGTCACAGGCTCACTGTGTGACAGGAGAGGGATAAGCGTTGGGGGGGATGGAGGAGACTCTTCTTTACAGACAAGGATTAGTGGACTGGTTGTCTTCCTGTAGATGGCTCCTTCCCTAAGTTGGCACATTACACAGGACAGCACATCAGTGGCATTGCAGCTAAGCAATGGAAAAGGAGGTGCGTCGTTCTGTTTCTGGAAATCACTGATCACCTGTAAAAGCAGAAGAAATTAAGCGAGACATCAAGCGGAAAGTTCTGAGTGGACACAAGACAGAGGAGAAATGTGGGGAGATATCAAGGAGGAAAGTTCTGAGGAGACACAAGACAGAGGAGAAATGTGGGGAGACATCAAGAGGAAAGTTCTGAGGAGACACAAGACAGAGGAGAAATGTGGCGGAGACATCAAGAGGAAAGTTCTGAGGAGACACAAGACAGAGGAGAAATGTGGCGGAGACATCAAGAGGAAAGTTCTGAGGAGACACAAGACAGAGGAGAAATGTGGCGGAGACATCAAGAGGAAAGTTCTGAGGAGACACAAGACAGAGGAGAAATGTGGCGGAGACATCAAGAGGAAAGTTCTGAGGAGACACAAGACAGAGGAGAAATGTGGCGGAGACATCAAGAGGAAAGTTCTGAGGAGACACAAGACAGAGGAGAAATGTGGCGGAGACATCAAGAGGAAAGTTCTGAGGAGACACAAGACAGAGGAGAAATGTGGCGGAGACATCAAGAGGAAAGTTCTGAGGAGACACAAGACAGAGGAGAAATGTGGCGGAGACATCAAGAGGAAAGTTCTGAGGAGACACAAGACAGAGGAGAAATGTGGCGGAGACATCAAGAGGAAAGTTCTGAGGAGACACAAGACAGAGGAGAAATGTGGCGGAGACATCAAGAGGAAAGTTCTGAGGAGACACAAGACAGAGGAGAAATGTGGCGGAGACATCAAGAGGAAAGTTCTGAGGAGACACAAGACAGAGGAGAAATGTGGCGGAGACATCAAGAGGAAAGTTCTGAGGAGACACAAGACAGAGGAGAAATGTGGCGGAGACATCAAGAGGAAAGTTCTGAGGAGACACAAGACAGAGGAGAAATGTGGCGGAGACATCAAGAGGAAAGTTCTGAGGAGACACAAGACAGAGGAGAAATGTGGCGGAGACATCAAGAGGAAAGTTCTGAGGAGACACAAGACAGAGGAGAAATGTGGCGGAGACATCAAGAGGAAAGTTCTGAGGAGACACAAGACAGAGGAGAAATGTGGCGGAGACATCAAGAGGAAAGTTCTGAGGAGACACAAGACAGAGGAGAAATGTGGTGGAGACATCAAGAGGAAAGTTCTGAATAGACAGAAGACAGAGGAAAGTTCTGAGTAGACACAAGACAGAGGAGAAATGTGGCGGAGACATCAAGAGGAAAGTTCTGAGTAGACACAAGACAGAGGAGAAATGTGGGGAGACATCAAGAGGAAAGTTTTGAGGAGACACAAGACAGAGGAGAAATGTGGGGAGACATCAAGAGGAAAGTTCTGAGTAGACACAAGACAGAGGAGAAATGTGGTGGAGACATCAAGAGGAACGTTCTGAATAGACACAAGACAGAGGAGAGATGGCTTCTAACACCATAAGAAAATGTGACTCAGCTGAGGGATGGAGCTCTGCTTGAACTGTAACCACACAACCCATTCTGGGAAGAGGGAAGTCAGACTGGACAGGGTGGATGTTAGATTAGCTCTCCTCATTAGGACTAGGGATGCACCGATATATCGGCGCCGAAACATATCGGCCGAAAATGGCACTTTTGGCATAATGCCGAAAGATCCATGCTTCGGCCGATACATCGGCGCATCCCTGGTTTCTTTTCTCCCCGCTGGCCGCTGCTCCAGCGGGGAGAAAAGAAAGTGACAGCCGGCCGAGCGCTGCAGGACGAGAGCGCTGTGAGCGGACGGCGTCACTCCTCCCACACCGCTCAGCCGCCTATCACGGTCCGGCAGAGCCGTGTGGGGGCGGAGACAGCGCTGTCACAGGAGGCTGGGCTTTCCTCTCTACACCGCTTATCAGCCTCCCGTGACAGCTTGTCAGAGAGAAAAGCAAGGTACACACACTCAGGGATCAGTGATCGCTGAGTGTTTGTAGATAATTGAGGATATGGTATGTTAACTATATCCTCAATTATGAATGAATGGGAAGATCTACATCCCCTCCTGTTCATTCATGGTTGTAGTTATAGTAAACAAACAATGTCCTCATGTTATCAATGAACAGGTACACTCAGAGGATTCCTGTTCATTGATAACAGGGGACACTGAAGACAGAGTCCTCAATCTCTTTTTCTATTTTAAAAGTCCCTAAAAGTAAAGTAAAAAATAAAAATATTTAATAAAAAAAGAATAAGTAAAACTAAATATAAAAAAGTTTATAAAAAATAAAATATTGTAAAAAATTGAAAAAATAAAAAACATTTTCGGTATCGGTTTCGGCCTGACTTTTTTTATTTCGGTTACGGTTTCAAAATTTCCATTTCGGTGCACCTCTAATTAGGACATTAAAATGAAAATTAGCCCCTCCACAGTAGATAATATCACTTATATAATTTCAAACATTCAAGGTAAATATCCAATGCTTTCCTTTAACAATGCCATTTATGTGCTCATCAGGAAGAAGCTCTTGGATAAACAAGAGACTGTTAGCTGACAATTTCCCACTGTGCCTCGTCCTCTCAGGAGATCCAATTCAGTGGAAATAACCCCACAGTCCACTGTTTGCTGCCCTCTCCTTCCCAGAAGAGAACTCAGGTCATCCAACTCGATAACCCTACAGTCAGTCAGTGGTGATCTATGGACTGCACGGAATCTCTAAGAGAGAACCCAAACCTGAGATGTCACCATCACATCCCCTGTTGAAGGCTACATGCAGTTGTCCCAATGAACATTGCTCAGGTAGTCCACTGTCTCCAGTTTCAGAAAGTTGGTCCAGTGCAATGATGTGCAGCTGAAGCAAGTACATGTAGACAGCAAGTAGCAGCACTGAGATGGGGAAAGGATGAAAAAAATGTATTCTATAGAACAAAAACAAACATTCAATGTCATCCAGTTAAAGTTGTCTTAAGTATAGAGAATTGTAGACTTGCCATGGGGGGAGCTCTCAGTGGTTCAGTGCATTTACTCTGTGTTAGTGACACCAAGTTCAGAGATCAGCCACATTAATGGAAAACTCATGACATACCTTTGCCACCAGTGCGTCAATATGGATAGAGCGCTCTTCCTTCATGACTTGGTCTACCAGTCCTAGTATGAGTTGCCTCTTCTCCTCCACACTGGAGATGTCTGGGATCCCATCCACCCTTGTAGGGCTCAGAGTAAGAACTGTACCTGTTCGATCACAGAAGGCCACTGTATCTAGACACAAGCATCCTAAAGCAGACAAGAAGAAGAAAAGTAGGGAGAAATGGGAAGTTGTGTCAGTGCCTTCAGTGTGATGCTAGAAGAACGTTGTGTGTCAGATGTTAGACCCAGCCATTGGTGCCATCAACGTGCCCTGGCTTATACGGCGTATTAGTCAGGCAGTGTGAAGTGGTGTGGCCTGTGTGTGGGGTCTCCTTTAAGATGTTCTCTGTTAGGTGGTCACATACCTGTGTTCTCACGTATAGCCAGAATCCCTCCCTTAGCTGTGAGAGGCTCCAGAGAAGTCCTCAAGAGACCATCAGACACTCCCGTCCAATTCGCAATCTCCTCCTCCGAGATTTTCTACAAAGAGAAAAGCCTGATCAGACGTAACCTCTACCCTGGTCAACAGTGAGACGATCCAGAAGGAACCAAGTGTTTTTCCAAGTCACAGAGACAGCCACAGGCATGTACACAGAGCCGCACATCTCAATCTTACACTGAAGCAGACCAACTTCGGTACATGTTCTGGTGAAAATCTATGACTGCAATAAAAGCCTCAACAGGATCTGTAAAGCATCACCACGAACATTCAGCATACTTCCAGTCCCTACAGCCAGGAAAGCGGCTTCCTATATATGACAAATTCTGCCAAAGCACCACCGTGAGCCGAGAACCTTAGATCAGCTAGGTAAAGGAGGCAGCCTCCTCACTGGAACCAGCTCTAACCCTGAATGAGCCATACCCGGCGAGCAATCTTCATAACTGCTACTCTATCAGTCCCAGTCTGGGTAACAGTTTCTCTAGGTTGAAGTGGTGGCACAACAATGAAAAGGCAGCAATTCTGCTGCTTTCGGCTCAGAGTGTGTCCTGGAGGTGGAACCAGGGCCTTCCTATAATGTTGCCTAAGGTGGCATCTCTTTGGGTCAAGTTTGGGGGGCAGTACACTGCATAATGTTTGCAGTGTGCCTGCTGCCCCCTTTCAGGCCAGAGTTGCTAAGAGCCAGATGGGAAGATGTGCGAGGGACATACACATCTCCCTACCCAGTTCTTAGCACTTGGGACACTGCCAAGATCTACAGCAACATCAACTGCTCCTCTGCCTACCAAGGCCGATTGGCGGTAATGAACCATTAACGGTCATACCTACCCAGGTCACAGGTATCCCAGATGTCCTGATTTAGAAGAAGACTGTTTTATAGAACCTGCACATTTTACTTATACAAGTAAAGGACTTTACTGTATTTAGCCAGGCCGTGAACTATGTCTCTGTTCTGGGACCTAAGAGGGAACAGGACAGCCTGGGGGAAGGGCTCAGGGCACCCCAGGGGGCACAGCATAAGGGTGCATAGGTCAGCCCAGGGTGGCATAGAAGAGCCAAAATGGGTGTCATGATAGTGCGGTGGGAGGAAGTGCGGTGGGAGGAAAAGCGAGAGGGAATAGGACAGCCATGGGGAAAAATAGACTAAGAGGGGCATAGGTCAGCTTTAGGGCTGCAAAGAACAGCCCGGGGGGGAGGCATTCAACAGCCTAAAGGGACACAGTGCAGTCCATGGGGCACAGGGCAATCCTAGGCTGTCCAAACTGCTGAGACTAAGATTGACATTTCACAGTACACTATGAAATAAACCCCACAAGTCCACCACCGGAAGGACTAAATCAGCTCCAAGAATAATCTTTTGCTGTCCATTACAACCATAACGTTTCCAAGCCTGGCCTGTGGAAAGGACAGTTGGATGCTGATTGGTTGCTGCCATAACCATAATGTTTCCAAGCCTGGGCTATGGAAATAACTAGGGATGCACCAATACCGGTTCTTCAGTATCGAGTATGAGTAACGATATTTTTTTTTTTTCGGGAATCGCCGATACAGAGTACCAATACCAGTGCCCCAATTATCAGGGTCATGATCCGCCACCCAGTTTTCTGATTGCCTGAGAAGCTGGTGTTCTAGCAAAAGAACACCGGCTTCACTTGCCGAGGCTCCCTGACCAATCAGGAAGCCGAGCAACGGGTCATTAGATGCAGTCCGGCAGTACTCGCCCAAATACTCGGTATCTGCACCGATACAGACACTAGAATCGGTATCGGTGCATCCCTAGAAATGACAGTGGGATGCTATAATTAGAGATCAGGGATATGGGAGGAGGGGAACTCTTGCTCATAGCAGCCAATAACATTGCAGAGATAAATGCTTTTTGGTTGTTTCAGCTCCATGTTTATTCCAGTTTTCTTTTGTAAAGCAGCTGCATTGCCTTCATGTCTATCTAAAGGGTAACCCGTCACAGCCAATCCCGCCCAGACATGGTGCCTGCGAACTCTCACCTCCTGCTGGTTAAACTGCAGCAATATGAACATCTGCAGAGTGGAGACCCGGAGCGTGAGACCGCAGTACTGCAGCTCCGCGTTTCCCAACCACGTCCACTGCAGCCGCTGTGACTGACCGATATAAGAGGAGCCTGGAAGAGACGGACCTGCAGAATACAGAACACTCCATTCAGACACCCGGCAAATAGAGATTAAGGCACAGGCTGGGAGACTTTTGGGTCAATTAATAATGGAGAAGAAATAGGACTATCTGTTCCTCGTTTGGTACGGCCACACCGCTGCTTTCTAAATAGACCCATAGGATATTAAAGCTGAACTCCATGTAAACAGCTAAAAACCCAGATGAAATACATGTATGGGAGGTATTTCACCTGCCAAAGGATTTGTATTCCTCTACATCCAGTCTGAGATATAAACAGCTCTGTTACATAGCAAAGCCCTGCCTGGGAGGGTAAGAGATCGGATTTTCGGTCTTGGGATGGGAGAAGACACTTACAGGTCTTCTCCCATCCCTGTGACTGGACCGTAAAAGCAGAAGCAGCAGATTCATAAGCTTGTGCTGCTTCTCTCTCCCCCTTTCTGAGCTCTGCTGTACAGGGATAGCAAGAGGCTGATCTCAGGTCAAATTCAAGTCCTTACACATGTTTTTGCTACAGTTTGTGATCCCCATACTCCAAACAGCACAGTAACAAAATCATGGCCCCTTTCTCACTATATTCCTCTGTAGGTATGTGATGACTGGGAGGTGACATCACTGCAATACCGACTCCAATCGCTCGGGGAACTTCCTGTCTGGCATAGACAGGGTTAACAGATTGCCATTATATACATGACACCAATAGACACGCAGCCATCAAAAGAATGAGTAGTCCTCGTGTTTTACACAGACACTTGACCTCCCTTTGTAATAACTGACTGACAGTCCTCCTGTTACTCACACTTCCTGAAGAAGTTGGAGAAACTCAACAGATGGCGAGCCAGAGCACGGGAAAAATATTTCTGAGGATTGTCCATAAAACAGCGAGTGGAGAAAGACCAACACTGCGAGGAGAGGACACAAACCTCCACATCCACATTGTCCTCCTTCCCGTCATTTTCCAAAGCCACCTAAGAAGAATCAAAACCCGGAAGAGAAGACAAATGTCTACACATGAATACAATCTCTACTTTCTACCCCATCCATTACCCTCATCAATCCGCCTCCTCCAGTAGAATGGTTCACCCCAGCCATTACCTTCTCACCAACCCTCCTCCACCAGGATACAGTTCACCCCATCCATTATCCTCTCGCCAACCCTCCCCCCACCAGAATATGGTTCACCCCATCCATTACCCTCGCCAACCCTCCTCCACCAGAATATGGTTTACCCTGTCCATTACCCTCTCACCAACATTCCCCACCAGAATATGGTTCACCCCATCCATTACCCTCGCCAACCCTCCTCCACCAGAATATAGTTCACCCCATCCATTACCCTCTCACCAACATTCCCCACCAGAATATGGTTCACCCCATCCATTATCTTCACCAACCCTCCTCCACCAGGATACAGTTCACCCCATCCATTATCCTCTCGCCAACCCTCCCCCCACCAGAATATGGTTCACCCCATCCATTACCCTCGCCAACCCTCCTCCACCAGAATATGGTTCACCCTGTCCATTACCCTCTCGCCAACCCTCCTCCACCAGAATATGGTTCACCCTATCCATTACCCTCGTAAATCCTCCCCCACCAGAATATGGCTCACCCTCCCCCACCAGAATATGGCTCAACGCATCAATTGCTCTCTTACCAACCCTCCCCCACCAGAATATGGTTCACCCCCAATCGATTACTCCCTCACCAACTCTACTCCACCATAAATACGGTTCACCACATTAAATATCCTCTCACCAACTATCCCATACCAGACTATGGTTCAACACCATCCCTTCCCCTTTCATCATCCCTCCTCCTCCACCAGAATACACTTCTACCCCATCCACTCCCCTCTCACCCTCCTTCCTCCACCAGAATACACTTCTACTGCATCCATTCCCCTCTCACCATCCCCCCCTCCTCCACCAGAATACACTTCTACCCCATCCATTCCCCTCTCACCCTCCTTCCTCCTCCACCAGAATACACTTCTACCGCCATTATTCTCCTTTCATCATCCTTCCTTCTCTACCAGAGATGACTTCTACCCTATCCATTCCCTACTCACCATCCATCCTCCGCCACCAGAATACACTTTTACCCCATTCTTTCTCCTCTCACTATAGCTCCTTCTCCACCAGAAAACACTTTAGGCCTATTTATTCCCCTCTCACCATCCCTCCTCCTCCACCAGAATACACTTTTACCCCATCCACTCCCCTCTCACCATCCCTCCTCCACCAGAATACACTTCTACCCCATCCATTCCCCTCTCACCATCCCTCCTCCTCCACCAGAATACACTTTTACCCCATCCACTCCCCTCTCACCATCCCTCCTCCACCAGAATACACTTCTACCCCATCCATTCCCCTCTCACCATCCCTCCTCCTCCACCAGAATACACTTTTACCCCATCCACTCCCCTCTCACCATCCCTCCTCCACCAGAATACACTTCTACCCCATCCATTCCCCTCTCACCATCCCTCCTCCTCCACCAGAATACACTTTTACCCCATCCACTCCCCTCTCACCATCCCTCCTCCACCAGAATACACTTCTACCCCATCCATTCCCCTCTCACCATCCCTCCTCCTCCACCAGAATACACTTTTACCCCATCCACTCCCCTCTCACCATCCCTCCTCCACCAGAATACACTTCTACCCCATCCATTCCCCTCTCACCATCCCTCCTCCTCCACCAGAATACACTTTTACCCCATCCACTCCCCTCTCACCATCCCTCCTCCACCAGAATACACTTCTACCCCATCCATTCCCCTCTCACCATCCCTCCTCCTCCACCAGAATACACTTTTACCCCATCCACTCCCCTCTCACCATCCCTCCTCCACCAGAATACACTTCTACCCCATCCATTCCCCTCTCACCATCCCTCCTCCTCCACCAGAATACACTTTTACCCCATCCACTCCCCTCTCACCATCCCTCCTCCACCAGAATACACTTCTACCCCATCCATTCCCCTCTCACCATCCCTCCTCCTCCACCAGAATACACTTTTACCCCATCCACTCCCCTCTCACCATCCCTCCTCCACCAGAATACACTTCTACCCCATCCATTCCCCTCTCACCATCCCTCCTCCTCCACCAGAATACACTTTTACCCCATCCACTCCCCTCTCACCATCCCTCCTCCACCAGAATACACTTCTACCCCATCCATTCCCCTCTCACCATCCCCTCCTCCACCAGAATACACGTCTACCCCATCCATTCCTCTCTCACCATCCCCTCCTCATCCTCCGATATGATTGCATTGTCCAGCTGCTGCAGTCGGTATAGATGTTCTTCTCTCTGAAGATCTTTTGCCTCCTGCAGGTTTTTCAGCATTTGTTGAGGATAGCGGTTTGGGAAACAAATGCCAATGTGATCGACCACAGAATTCTCCAACCAGCACGGTCCAAGTGTGAACAGACGGTCAGCCAGATAATGCCTGCAATGCATCCAAAACACAAAGCTATAAGGGCAGAAAATCCTCATCTACAAAATTTGTTCTAGATTAAACATTTTTAAACACACTCATCATACCTCCTCTATACACACTCATCATACCTCCTCTATACACACTCATCATACCTCCTCTATACACACTCATCATACCTCCTCTATACACACTCATCATACCTCCTCTATACACACACTCATCATACCTCCTCTATACACACCCATCATACCTCCTCTATACACACACTCATCATACCTCCTCTATACACACACTCATCATACCTCCTCTATACACACACACACACATCATACCTCCTCTATACACACACACACATCATACCTCCTCTATACACACACACATCATACCTCCTCTATACACACTCATCATACCTCCTCTATACACACTCATCATACCTCCTCTATACACATCCATCATACCTCCTCTATACACGCCCATCATACCTCCTCTATACACGCCCATCATACCCCCTCTATACACACTCATCATACCCACTCTATACACACCCATCATACCCCCTCTATACACATCCATCATACCATCTCCATACACAATCAATCATACCTCCTCTATAAACACGGATCATACCTCCACTATGCATCCTGATGATATCTTCTCTATACACTTCAATTGTGTCTATACATATCGATTATACCTCTTCTATACAAGTGCTGCCTTTGTAGAAAAATAAAGGCTCTTACTGACTAACCTATAAAAATTCTCAAATGAATTAGCGAGTTCCAGATCGGACATAAAAAGCACACATTCCAGGAACTGCCGAAGCTGCTTCAAAGATTGGACATCTGATGAGTCTGATCGAATAGCAATTATCCTCTGATCAATGTACCGTGCAAACTGCTCCGTCACCTGTGATAAAAACACATCAATATGTAACCTGCTGCAGACAAAGATTAGACGTACTGTACCATATGCAGACCAAGAAGGGAGCTGTACCATATACAGACCAAGGAGGGAGCTGTACCATATACAGACCAAGGAGGGAGCTGTACTATATACAGACCAAGGAGGGAGCTGTACTATATACAGACCAAGGAGGGAGCTGTACTATATACAGACCAAGGAGGGAGCTGTACTATATACAGACCAAGGAGGGAGCTGTACGGTATACAGACATGAGGAAGAGGGGGGCAGTACCATATACAGGCACAGAGAGGAGCTGTATCATATATAGACATGGGGGGGTTACTGCTCTTTGTACAGACACAAGGGTACATGTAGATCTCCTGTAGGGGGTTGTTGTACTACACACAATCTACCTCTGCGATACACACTCACATGTAATGCGGTCAGGAATGAAAGCTGTAACAGCCCCTGGCAGAATCCTTGCTGTAAAGCGAGTAAAAACCGTGTCTGCTGACCAAATATCTCCTCCATGGCCCGTCTGAGAGCCATGTACATGGAACAGAAGCGAGGAACCAGATCAACGTCATTCCACGACATCTCCAAAAAGCGTTGCACCTAGTAAACAAGCAGAGTTACATCCTGGACCCCCACAGACCCCCCACAAGGACATTCCACCTCCAGAGAGACACTTACCTGCTGCTGAACCACCCCCTGCCAGCACTGAGCCATTCCGGCCATACTCCCCATCCTACAGCTGGAGGCACTCACTGGAACACTGGTGGTGCTGGGGTTCTCCTCATCTGTAGAAAGTGACAATGTTAGCGGGGTACATGTCTGCTTTGTGGGCTTCACCTATTTCAAATGGAAAACCCGCCCACCCCGCCGGACTATAAATCATAACATAAATGTGATAGATTCTGGGCCTTCGGTTCCCATTCCTCTGTCAGGTAGGGCCCATCCACAGTTAGGACAAGAGTCTGGTCGGTATCAGAATATGGCAGGTAGCATGCTATGTGTGGTAAACTCACTGGTCTTACTGGGCGGCTTCAGTGCACTGGTATCGGGGGGGCTGGTGTCCACATGGACCAGGAGATGAGTCAATCTCCGCACTCGGGAATTGAAGACCGACAATCGGGACTTGGGTTGACGAGAACCCTGACTGTTCTCCAGGTAACGTGTGAGGAGCCACCCAAAAGGACTAACTCTTCCGGGATCTGAAAACGAGAAAAGTGTTATCACCATTCCTGGAGACTTCAATCAGAGGATAATTCTCCCAGAATTCCCTGTACCTGAGGTAGTGATACTCTGCACCAGGGGGGAAATCAGCGACTCCCAGCACGTCCGGCCCAAAGCCTGAGCTGCCTCGTCGTCAGGAAGAAAACGGTCTGCAAACTCCTGCTCATGTGACAATGCCCGGTTCAGTCTAAAACACAACATAGACGCCAACATGACTGCAAAACCACAACAACCCTAACACACAGCATAAAGCGCAATGCAATATCACAATGCCAATGACACAACAGTCATAACACGCAATCCTAGTACACAGCATATATCCTACAGGTTTAAATCCATTTGGTGGGTGTAGGTTAGAGAAGAGTAAGGATGGGCTTGCGCAGCGCCAATCACAGGCACTGAGACATTTCCCGATCTCTGCAGCTGCGGACCGGGAAATTGTCTCAGTACCTGTGATTGGCCCTGCGCGCTGTCAGCTTCCTGGCGGGCTCGGCACGTGGAGCTGCGAACACGCCCGAGCCCATCCTTAGAGAAGAGGATTGGCTCACCGGCTGAAGAGTTGTAGTAAGTTCTCCTTCTTGTCGCGGATCTCCTGCCCCCAGCTATGCGCTCTGCTGGTGTAGAATAAGAAAGTTCTTCTACAAAGTTGCTCCATAAACACCGGCCAGAAAGTTGGCTTGGGCCCCAGGATCTCCACACTCCGCACACGCGTGTCAATACCACCCTGCACATGTAAAAGCACAGCTGGACATTAGAACATGCACGCTCAGCGTCACACCCTCCACGCTGCCACCCGTCACACCCCGCACACCCTTTACCTGCTGACACCTCTTGATCTTGATCTGAATGATGGGCCAGTAGCGAGTGACATTTTCCAGGAGAAGGACACGTCCGGCCGTGCTGGCGATGTTCACCTGGGAACAAATAGCAAAGTCATAATTACTCGTAGTCTGCCATCTTACTGAGCAAAGTTACTATCAAACCTGCAAGATCCAATGTTTAGTTTCTGGGGTGGAGGCAGTGGCGTCACTAGGGGAGTGCGACCCGCACAAAGGTGACACCATTGCAGTCATTTTGGTGTCACACCCTCTGAAAAGTCGGGCACTCAGTCACGGACAGAGAGCCCGACAGTTGCAGGAGAAAGGAGGGGACCTGGTGGCATACCTTAGCATGCCGGATGACCGCCCCCTCCTCTCTCTGCCGGCATCCATTACCATGATAGCCGCCGGCAGGTATCACCAAGATGGTCACGCATGCAAGTTGTCGTCACGGCGGTGGTGTCACCTGCTCCCCGCTCCGGGGTGACACCCAGCCTCAGGACGCCCCTTTGTGGAGGAACTCTAGTATTACAAGCGGTATATCTGCATTATGAGTGGAGGAGAGAGGCGGCTGTAATAAGACGATATACTCTGACATACTTCCTGTATAAACACGCCAACATCCTGGATATCTTTTCATTGTTATACACTTGTGTCACCCTGTACAGGGGAATCAGATGATCACCAGCACACACGCATACTCTCTTCAGACCTTACGTCATGCCTCCAATGCCAAGTCCAGCATTTTGGGGCCACACAGGGTCCCTTCATCAAGTAGACATAGTAACGTCTCTATTTCACCCCAATGAAGGGACTCTGCGTGGCACAAAACGCTGGCATTGGCATTCATGACATTATGTGACGAGTAACAAATAAAGTTACATGAGGTCTGATGAGAGTACATGTGTGTGATGGTGATCATCTGATTATATGTTCATCTTCTACATGGCCCCATCCATGTCATCACTTCAAGCACCACCTCCTTGACGGTACACAACGCTGTAAGAAGTGCAGGTGATTTACTAGAAACACCATGTACACAGGGCGCCCCCTGCTGTCTGTCCAAGGATGGCCCCCTAAGCCTTTGCTACATCTGAAAAACATTTTAAAGCCGTTGCCCTTTACCCTTCAAGTGATTATAAAGTCAAAAGGTATGTCAAATGCTGATTAGATCACTTGCAATGGATGCTGCTCCTTGAGGTTTCAAAGTTTTAGCTTCCTGCAGAATCCACGGGTCCCCTGACCACTGGATATCCAGTTTTAGGGTGGCTCCTTTCCACTGCAGGGTCCTATGGAGTACGCCCTTGTCTGTGCTAGTAAGCTCTGTGTGTCTCCACAAACACACAGACACAGCAAGACAAGACACTCTCCTCTTTCCCACTCCTCCTTCCTCCCTCACTCACCACGATCAGCTCTGTGTTAATGTTGGACGAGTTCTCTCCTCCCATCACGACCACCCGTGCCGGCATATAACTGGAATCTTCACTGGCCACAACCATCGCCAGCTGCCTGCAGGGGCACAAACACCCTCAGATTCTGGGATACACAATGACCTGTATGAGCAAAAAAATACCTCATCTTCCCCAATCACACTCACCGGATCACCACCCCTCGGTGCATGTAGATGTTGATGTAATGGGATCCGGTGCTCCCGCTCGACTCCCAGTAAGATTTGGAGTTTCCATCTGTCAGTCTGTTGGCACGATGAATATTGGAGGAGACTTCCATCTTCTCCCAACATTTGTCCTCCTTCTGCTCTTTCTTGGTGTATGCTGGTAGGAAGTACAGCGGGTTACTCTTCAGGGGCAGAGCAGGCTGGAGGGGACGGGAGGAGGTTTATGAAAATGGCGCTGGGGTCAGTTTCAGAGGTGACCGGTTACAAAAGCGATTGTGTGGCTCAGTGCTCACTCCCGGCTCAGTGTTCCAGAGGTGCCACCCCGGAATGTTCCTCCTGGAAGCTGCACAGCAGAGCATTCAACAGCAAGCAACGTGTACAGCAGTGCGCCCAACACAGTGTACAATATACAGCAGAGCGTATGACATACAGCACAGTATGGAACACAGTATACAACATACAACAGGGCGTACGACACACAGCACAGTATACAACATACAGCAGACCATAGAACACGCAGCACAGTATACAACATACAGCAGAGTGTACAACACACAGCAGACCATAGAACACATACCACTGATAGCAGATGGTACAAAGCATGCCAAAGTGTACAACACTTAGCAAAGCATAATAAAAAACACACAGCACAGCATACAACACACAGAATACTATACAGCAGAGCATGCAACACAAAGCACAGTATAAAACATGCAGCAGAGCATAGAAAACATTATACAACATACAGCAGAGCATACAACACAGCATATAACATACAGCAGAGCATATAACATGCAGCAGAGCATACAACACAGCATATAACATACAGCAGAGCATATAACACAGTATATAACATACAACACAGCATATAACATACAGCAGAGCATAGTATATATTTACAGAATTTACAGTAGCACGGTATAAAACATACAGCAAAGCATACAACACACAGCACACAATACAATATACAGCAGAGTATACAATGCACAGCAAAGTGCATACAACACATACCCGGCAGAGTATTAAATACACTGCACAGCGTATAACACAGAGCAGAGTGTGCCATACCGTCACAGTGTAAACTGTGCAATACAAAGTACACAGTTGTGTATATAACAAAGAGCAGAGTGGACAACATGCAGAATACAATACAGAGCGGGACATATTAGAAGCAGCAGCCCGACGTACAAAACAGATTGCAGATTACACAGACTACTGCGGGGGGGGGGGGGG